CACCTGTACCCATATACTCTCCTCTGGCATAAAAGGTGCACTTTTCCCAAAACAGACCCCTGCCCCCCTTTCCCCCGGGCTACGGGTCTGGATTATTTATAACTGGGGATACAAAAACCATTCATACATGTTTGCAGAAAAAAGGCAAAAACATTTCTCTAGTTGATCATAAATTCTCCACAGAACCTACACGCAAGCAACCCGGAAGTGTCCCTTTAATCCTCTCTGAGCTTCCTGCACCTGTCGCCTGTTGCACATCCCGGTCCGGTTGGTCCAGTCCAGTTTGTCCTTTCCTCTCGCTCCAAACCGGTCGAACAGAGTAAACAGTGTGTTGCCAGGTAAAAGAGAAAAGCTGCGTGTTCCTGTAGAGCAGGAAGCCCAGTCCAAACGACGGACTTGAACCCGGATCTGGTTCCTGTGAGGAGGGGACGAAAGGATCATCTGGAGCGGATTTCTGAAGAGAAAGAAACGAGTCACGGAAATAAGCAAAAATGGCGCATGTGTATGGCGGAGGATCGTGACTGGTTCTGTTTGTTTATCAGAATTAAGGTCTTGCTGGAGGCTTTAATCTTCCTGCTAACGGAGGACTGACGGCTGGACTGACATCATCCTCCTCGCCCGCTCGCTGGGAGTGAATCATCGTCTTGTTCTTCATCATCATCATCATCAGCAGCACTGGGGGGTGAAGTGATGCTGTCACCGCCTCTCCTCCGTTAATATCGCACTCGCGGACCGAACCCACCGAGCCCCCTGTGAGCCCACAATGGAGGAAATCCTCAGGAAGCTGCAGAAAGACGCGTCCGGACACAAACACAAAGCGATCCGGGACGCGTGCCTGTCGGCCTGCGGTGAGTGACCGTCATCCTCCCGTGGGGTCTGCAGGGGGGGGGACCCGCTGGAGCTGGGTGCACCTGCTGAGCCTCGGTGAACAGGACCACCCAGGACCCAGCTCACGAATTCAAAACAAACCTGAATGTTCAGAAGAATCCGTGTTTTTTAGGAGCTAAGATTTGATGATGTGGCACACTGGAGACAGGGGCGTTTCATTCTCATTGATTTGTTTTGAATGGTTAAGTTTGCACAGCTGAACATACATTTGTTTTTTTTTGTCTTATTTGACTATTTTAAATGACACAAGTTTGCAGCAAAAATGGTTTTCAGGCTTTTAACTGTAATTTGTAAAATTCCTGTTAAAACCTAATTGTTTTTATCTGTTTATGTAGCTATCTGTTAGAAAAATATCCCACAAACCGCTGGGTAGATTTTAAAAGAACTTCCAGAAACCTAATTATTGGATATAGTCTACAACTGATTAAGTATTGGAGCCTGCCCAATTCAAGATGGCTGCTACAAGTATTGACCTTATCAAACATAGAAATAAAAATAAAAAAACAACATAGAAATGGCTCTAACTGTCAGTTGTACAGATAATGATGTTTGATGAGGAAGTAGCTGAGAGTCATCCATATACAGTATACATAAGTAGGTATGTGACAAAAATTGAAAATGTTCCCTAATTGTGTAAAAAATAGAGATGCACTGATATAAACATTTCAGCTGATATTGATATCCGATATAATTATTGCTGTTATGGCCGATAACCGATATTTACCGATATTACACAAACACACAAATTATATTTTACATATACACACAAGCACACTTGGGTCTTTTCTTTATACCGTAAATAAACAACCAGACCTCTGACATGGCTCTACTTCAGTTATTCCTGGTTACGCAGCGTCAAAATCACGATGATGATCAAACAGATGCTGCTCAACCAACCATCTCCCTCCCAAAATAAAAACACAAAGATAAAAAGTGGGAAATCAATAATGGACGTTAAATTCAGCTAGGGCTGCCACAACGATTATTTTTATAGTCGATTAATCACAATTATTTATTTTCGATTAGTCGACTAATCAGATCATACGTTAATTGAATAAAAAACATACAGCTTATTGCACCAGAATGCAGCTGCTTTTATATAACCATGGTTAGATTTTAGCTATATGCTAACTAAAAATAATTGCTGTGGAAGACAAATTCTGCCTTGCAGATCTTGCATTTCACAGGTTTCTCTTTCATTTTCTTAAAATGATCCCACACTTTTGAGCTCTGTTGTCAGGTAGCCATGATACCAGAGCCTGTCTGTATAATGTCTTGTGACGTCCACGGCCTACCCCAGTTACCACTACTGTGCATGTGTGTCAAGGACAGAAAGGCAGATGTGGCAGTGGAAGGTGTCAAAGCAGTTTGAAGAGAAAAACAAAACAAACAAACAAAAAAGACTAATCGACTAGAATTAGTCATCGATTACTTTAATAGTCGATTAGTTGTTGACCAGTCAACAAATCGTGGCAGCCCTTACATTTCAGACCGATACCGATATTCTAAAAAAATGACCAATATTGGCCAATAACGATATTAATGCATCATATCATGCATCCTTAATAAAAAAAACATTGTATTGGAAGCAGCTAAAATCGAATAATGAAATAATACAAACTTTGTTCAAATTAGTTGAGAAATAAAGTTGTTATGCAGTTTTTTTGGAATAAAACAAGAGGTAAATTTCAGCACCGACCCAATCACATTATGCTGCTTGCAGGCCTTAAAAACACACTTCAGATTCACTGTTTTTTATGAAGGTTGCTCAGAATATAGAAGACAGCTTGCATCCACGGCATGACTTTTGATCAATTGAATCAAAAAAAAAAAAATGCATCAACTTACCTGCTCCTGATCGAGGATTGTCAGCCAGTGGTCAGAGTTAGTTACACAAGGGGACCAAAATTTTAAATTTTATCCATGCCATGGGCTAATTTCTGTCAGGATTTATTGAAAAAAAGTTAAAATGAAAAAAAAAAAAAGAAAAAATTGTATAGATCTTGTATAGGAAACGTTTCATTAGAGAAGAACCCGTCCAGAAGACCTATACAATTTTTTTCTTTTTGGTTTTTTACCTGGATTACTGAGATGCATCAGGACTCACTTAGCTACGTTCAGCTCGAGCTCTGTTTACTGAACCAGCGGCTGCTGACGTCATTACGCTCTTGCGTGATGCTGCGTTCAGGACAAGCATGGAAAACTCACCACTCTTCGCAATGATGCATTTAGGTAACATGGTACCATTTGATGTTCTGTGAAGAGGTTCTCGGTAGTACCGACAGAATTCGGTCTGTACTTAAAAAAGTATCGAATTCGGTACCCATCCCTAGATTCATGTATAAAGTAAAGAGGAGTGGTCCAAGCACTGAACCCTGAGGAACTCCATGTGACCAACTCTGGTGTAAGAAGATTCATTATTAACATTTCCAAACTGGACGCTATCAATTATGACTTAACATTTTAAAGCTGTTCCTGTAATCACAATCAAGTGATCAAGTTCAAGCCTCTGTAATAGAAAATTGTGATCAATTGTATCAAAGGCAGCACTAAAACAAAACAGCTTAGCAAGAAATGCTATCCTGTAACCCTGTAGTGTTGTTCACAAATGGAAACAAATTTTCGGCTAATAAATTGGAATATCTGTCACTAAATAAATTTTAAAAATCCCCACACTGAATTTTTTTTGTCTTTAACAGCAAGTTTGTCATAAACATTTTTGGTAAATGTCTGAAACACCAATTAAATGCACAGACAACAAGGTTTACTCTATGGTCAGGGGAGATATTGTTTGTATTATGAGACATGATGTGGTAGAATGACCTTTTGGTGGCGAGTGAATCTCACTGAGACAGCAAGTAAAGATTAGGTTGCTCTGACAGAGGGAGACTCACTTAAACACACAGTAATGATGCACAAATACTGTGCAAAGACTTAAAACTCAGTGAGCCTGTGCAAAGCATCTACCAACATGCGTTATTTGTCAAAACATAACAAAGAAGTCAGTTACATTGTTATATTTATCAGTTTAAAAAGTAATCAATTCCTAATTATTTGGAAGAGCTTTATATATCAGACTTTACATGCCTCAGTTAGCAGATAAAAGGCCCTGTCACACTGTTTATGGTAACGAATTAAAATTTTGTCCAACATTCTAGCATACAAAGAAGATGAAATAAAAACAACAAAAAAGTTAATTGCCAATGAGTTGAAAAATAATGTGTGTTTAACATATGAGTAATTTATCCATAATGTGTCCCTAGTTTATCCATAACTTATACAAACGTAAGGTGTTATTGTTACTATTATTATTATTATTACATCTCTTTCATTGAACTTGCTCTAATTTTTGTTGATCTATCTTATTCTGTCTATATTGGTTTTATTATACTACACATTGGTTGGCTTTATGCTATTTTAAGTGCTTTATAAATAAAAGTGGTATGGTTTGTTGGAACAATCACATGATATCAAATCGCTGCGATCTTCAACCAGGGTGTTGGATACAATTTTCTTACTTAGGTTTTAAAAATATCACGGGACAAAAAAGAAAAAGACTGAACAAAATATGGCTTGTTTGGAAGGGTTACAGGAATGTGGCAGCATAGCATAAGTTTAAAGCTTCATGAGAATGAACCAGAAGAAATGTCCTTTGGACAGATGAGACAAGAGTAGAGATGTTTGCCCACAGTGCACAGCAAACTTGGAGACAGTCAAAACCAATAAAAGAAAACAATATAGAAACTTTTTTTTGGTACAACCTTTTGAGATAGTCACTGCACTCAGGCATTTTCTTGTAACCAATGTCTTGAAGTTGTTCTGGGCCCTTGGTATCCATCACTTCAGTTTATCAATTTTCTCCTTGCAGCCATGTCCAGAGAGGTTGACCACTGTCCTGTGGACCTTTATACTTCAGAATAATCTGGGCAGCTGTAGTTGCAGGAACATCAATCTGCTGGGAGATGGTCTTATAGACTTTAACGCACGCTGCTCAAACATTTTCTTTTTCAGCTACTGACACAACTCTCTTTACCTTTCTGTGGTCTATGTTCAGTGTCTTACACACCCTGACACCAAACAGCACTGTGACTACTGTTTACCCACTTAATAAGCAGACTGACTGATTACAAGACTGATGCACCTTTGATGCTAATCTCAGGACACACCTTAGTTTAACATGTCCTATATTTTTACATTTCAAAGGGTAGCATTTTATTTTATTATTTTAATTTTTAGCACTTTTTTTAAAAATCTGGTGAACCAAAAATTTGTAAGCAATGGCTGCTTTTCATTAGCTGATTTTTAGCCTTTCTTTCTATTACTTTTGCTCATTTCAAGTTATTTAATTGACCTTAGTGCTTTTATCTTTATTTAATTAAAAAAAGACAAAAAATGTGAACATTTGTAATGGCACATTCTGGCTTAAACAAACTAAATTCTTGGCTACAGTAAATTAGGTGCATCGTTTAATTCTGCATCTTCATTTTCCTACTTGATGATTAAGTGTGCACAGACATGGCCATTTTTTATTATCATTTTTAATGACTAATATCAGCCCAGTGAAACTGATAGACTGATTATGTGGTCATCTCCATATTTTATCCAATTCTGCATTAGTTCTATGTTCTTAAAAATACAAGGGTTTAAAATGTGTTGTGGCTTAAAACAAAACGAATATGACGTGATGTAGACTTCAGCTGTATTTGTGCCTGTATTTCAGAACACCTTGAAACATGGAAACACGCCTACAGTACATCATTAGTCAGTGTGCACAGCTTCTGACTGCCAACACCCTTGCTACACACAGATGAAGTGCACTTTTACAAGGGTCAAAGAGAGAAAACCTCAACAAAACAGATTGTACAGAAAACAGCCGTGTCTGAGAGATGTCAGCAAGTCTCATGTTACAAGCTTTTATTTCATAAAATGACATTGGTTATTTTATGCCTGTTTTTGACATTCACATTTATTAAAGCAAAACTTTTCATTTTTTTCAACATCCATCTTGTTGCAGTGATTAAAACTGAGGGTACAAACAGAATATGTTCACACTGCAGGTCTTAATCCTCAATTCTGATTTATTTTTGAAAAATAAACTTTTTTGGCGTGAACGCTCACGTTATACGTATTGTAAATGTGACCTCCATCTGACTCCAGTTTGAACTCTATGGCCCTATGTGATCCTCATGCACAGAAGATGACATGAGGTCACATTCAGCTCGCTGTTTACAGAATTAGCTAAACAAGGATGCTACTTGTAGCAAAGCATCAGATACTGTATCAGATATTTTACCACATACTTAATAGGCCTGGGTTGAAATAGAAAAAAAAATCCAATATGGGTTGCATGGGGCAAAAAAAATCTGATTTGGGTCTCATTTGTCAGCAGTGTGAACACAGCCTGACGTAGCTTCCAATTCAGATTGCATAGAGTTTTTGCTTTGATTCAGTTTTTTACACAACAGCGAGTTAAGATAAACCCAGCGGTATAAGTAATATTACATGCTGTAAGTGTTACATGTTTCCCTTTTTTGTTTCTTTAAATTACAGAAACTCTTGAGTCTCAGAATGGGTCAGCCAAGATTTCCGCTTCACAGCTCCAGTAAGTTAAATGAGCAAATTCTCTTTCCTGTCCTATCAAATCACACAGCTGGGCCTCTTTCACCGCAGTACTGACTGAGCTTGTCCACTGTGGAAAATATTTAGATTTTATAAGTAAAAAAGGCAGAAGGTTACAAAAGTTGTCTGTTGTTTCCATGATGTGGTGTTTTGAGTTGGATTGTCTAATCATGGGTAATGCCAAACAAGCAGTTGTTCTTGGGTTTTGTGTAACAAATCTTGACCTTTTGATGGGCAGTCATTGCTTTAGAAGAGCATATGGCAAAAAGTATCTTGAGTTGTTGTGCTGCTTCTATCTAAAGAGACAAACAGTACTTTAAAAAGAAAAGCCACTGGACTGATCACTTTTCTGCTCAATTTCAATCACATTAGTACTGATTAATATTTAATATTAGGGCTGTGTATCGGCAAGAATTTGGCGATATGATACATATGACAGAGGGTTCACGATACAATATATCCCGATATATTGCGATACTATAAGCAAGGCAATATATTGCTATTTTTTTGTCCAAAAATTCTATTAAATAAAAACTTCTGACAGGGAAAAAAATGAAAAACCAAAATTCATTCTCTCAGAAAATTCTAATATTACAGAGACATGCTTTTGATACATTTAGCTGTGTTCTGCTTTATATGTGTTTTATTTTATTTGTTTCATATTTCTTGTTTCATCCATGT